TTGACCAAGCGAAGAGCCTCCAATTCATTGTTCATAGGGGGATCCGCCATGGGAGGATTGGTCTCAACGGTGGGGAAGAAGTCTTGAAGATTTTCTTGTTACCTTCTACTAGCAGCCTCCTGTTGGTTCTGCATCCGTGGGGGATTCATCTGATTTCTGCTCATGTTGCGTGTGCAGACCATCAATTACTGAAAAAGATCAGTGTATTTGCAATAGGAATAGTTATTTCCACAGACGACATCAAACTGATGGTGTATGAGAAGGAATAAGTTTATTCGTATGGCTGGATTTGAGCTACTGGGCTCATGCAAATAGTGTGTTGGCATTGGGGAGTGAGAGGTGCTTCACACGGTGAAATTATAGTGGTTCACAAGCTTGAAAACTCGGCTAATTCATTCTTTAAGGAGTCTCTTGCTCCCGAAATCTATGTTGATGATTATAATAGGATTACACAGTTTTCTTTGTACAATGTGGGCTTGCTAGGTTTTCTTTGCCTCAAAGTGAGGGTTTTTTACGGTATTTATAGCCTAGTTCCTAGTCTTATGGGATTTGCGGAGAGATCTTCGCCTTCTTTCTATGATGTTTTGCTTGATTCTAGGTAGTGGTTTTTGTGGTTGGAGGATATTGTGCCTAGACTGGTGCTCATTTCAGTTGAGGGGGCGCGTTGTGGTTGCCAGCTGTCTTCCATGCGTTCTCTTCAGAGAGGAGGTCGAAGGGGTCCCAGATCTAGATTGTGGAGCTCAGAATCTTATAACTGAGCTCCTTTCCTGACCTTCACTTCCTAGCTCAAAGTTGAAATTTCTTCTAGGTACCATCATTTTCAATGATCTAGGCCGTTCTAATTGACTCGATCTATAACAAAACCAACTCCAGGCTAAACCCATGGAAATTAGACTAGGAGGTAGTGGAACTTTTCCAAAAAAAGACCATAGAGCCACATCCAATAATCGGTCATTTGGTGCCCCACCGGTCCACTGCCACTCAATAGAGGCAAATTCCTTGTCCATTTTTTTTCTTCTGTGGAACATCCATTAGAGTCACACTTAGCTCGATAGAGAGCCCTCAAGGGTGAGAAAATACTGAATATAATGGTGATATGATGCCATCATTGACATTACATTGAATTCCTTTGAAGATAAAAAATTTTGAGGTCTAACATCAAATTATTTTTTGAAATTGCAAAAAAAAAAAAATAACTCTACAATTTATAGACCTTGTATTCTTAGGACAATTGTTGGAAAATTTGGAGATTAGAAATAAGGAGATTGGTAAGAGGATCTCGGATTAGTGGTCAACTCTGCAAGGCAAACTTTATCGAGCCAGCTTAGCTCGCTAGAGTTCTACACACACTAGAAGTCTGATGATGTGTGTTACACAGTTGAGCAGAATGAAGGGCGTAAGGTACACTGAAGGATTTAGTCTGAGCTTCAAGGCTCTTAGGAACTAGAATCTAGGGGAATGGGATCAATAACGCAGAAGAAATATAGTGGTTCACCAAGTCGGGAGTACGACTAATTCATTCACTCTTCAATGGTGTCTCTTGCTCCTGAGTTATATATTGATAAAAAGGGAGGTTACAAAGTAATCTGATAAAGTTCCTATTGCCTACCCCTATTGAAGGCCTTGTACAGTATTTATAGGAAATCTTGAGCTTAGCTGAATCTGAGGCATGATCCTCGCCCCCCTCATTTAATGTTTTGCTTGATTTATGTAGTAGTTATGCGAAGTGATGGGGGAATTGCTAATTTGTTGCCTGGATTGGTGCCTATTTCCGTTGAGGAGAAGCTTGATGGTTGCCAACTGTCTTTCATTCTGTTTTCCTTGAGGTGTGAATTAAGGGAGCTCGAGGTCTGAACTTCAAACTCAAGGTTTTTGTGCTACTGGGCTCCCGACATGAGCTGGGATGCTTGGCTCAACCTTGGAAATTTCTAGTTATCATTAGTTGCCCCTCAATCCGTGGTCAAAATGGTTTGTTTGAGCAGGGATTGAGTTGCGACTTGGTTCAGTGGGGTCGTTATGGTTCGACCTCGATTTACGTGTGATGGGACTCCGTGAAGATGATTATGGTGAATGTGCAATTATTCTTTTCTCATTTCTCACACACGTTCCATATATCGAGTTTCCACATACACTTGGCTTTAAATGCGCTTGCAGATGAAAAATTGCCTCTTTTTGCCTTTTGAATTCCCTCTATAGACCTTGTTTTCCTCCTTCCCTTGCGATTTTATCTTCCCCCAACTTGCTAGAGATCTAGGGCTCTACTTAGAAAACCCCCAATCCAGCTTGAGGATTCTGCGAGACTTGCTTTGTCATCTCCCTGAACTCGTTCTAGGGTTCGGGTTATTGCTCATTCTTGGTTAGGTATGCTTATTTGCTCTGTTTTATCTCTTCATTCTGGATCCCTCGAATCCGAAGTGGTTGTTCCATTTTTGGTTCTTTCGCTTTTGTTACTTTAGGAACTGAGGTATTCCTTGTCTGTTCTTCCCCCCTTTATGGATCCTTATTGGTCATTAGTGTCTTGACCCTTTGGCCCTCAAGGATTGTTTCGTTAACCTTTCTTTTCCTTATTCCTCTTTCTACCTCTCTTTCTCCAATCCTGTCATGTCTGGAATTTTCGAAGCTACTGCTTCATCCGTTTCTTGTTATGGGCGAGAGGTCTTTTGAGCAGGAGGACGTCTACTTAGGTGATGTAGGCAATGAAATAGATAATTTCCCTAGTGTCGATCTTATTGATGCTGGGGAAAAGGCCGAGGACCTCCCTTCTTCATCTTCTCCTTTATCAAGGTCCAAAAATTCTAGGAAATGGAAAACTAAAGTGTGTGATGTTGGGGTTTCTGGTAGTGCTGGAGAGGTAGAGGTCCCCCCCAGAGCTTTAGACCTTGTTGGCTTCAACAAGGTTATCCTCCTTTCATGAAAGTCTTATCAACTAGATTTGGTTTTCCTCGAGGTATGCGATATTGGTGCCCCCATGTGGACATTCGATATGACTCCCAAATTTTTGAGAAAGTCTATTTTTTGTGGCTTCTTTGGACAATGACCTTCATTTCCCCGTGCATCCTTTTCTTAAGAGTGTTCTGTAGCACTTTAAGGTATGTCCTACTCAACTTTTTCCCAATTTTTGGGGCATTTTGGTGGGCCTCCTTGTATATTTCAAGAAGAATAATCTTGGTGCCCCAATAGTGCCATTGCTTATGAACTTCTTCAACGTCAAGGTCACTCCCTCTAACACTTTTTTGTATATATCTAAGTGGGTGAAGTCCCGTGTTTTAATTACCAACCTCTCAAGTTTCCACAAGGGCCGGAAGAAGCTCTTCTTCTTCGCATCTGGGAGGGAATGAGAGTATAATTTTAATGATGCAGTTGATACATTCCTTATGCCTCAGGCCTGGTCTATCTTTGATAATCTGGGTAAGCCTTTGCTTGAGTAGGCTTGGACCAGCCTCGGTGCTTCATTTCCATTGACTTTGTTCCGCTTGTTCTTTCCAGGTATTCGACCCGAGCTCAGTGTCGAGGATGAGGTCGTTCTACGGGGTTTGGAAAGCTGCGAGCCAGAGCAATATTCCAAGCTTATCAAGCCTAAGGTGCTTCATAAATTTGGGTTTAGTCCTCCCAAAGTGACTGTAGAGACTCGTATTCCCATTTCCATTGGTGTTGTAGGTAACGTTTCCTCCTTTTATCCTTAACTTATATTTTACTTCTTTTTCCTTCTGATATATTTGCTTTGGTTTTCTAGGTTCTAGCTCAATGGCTCCAGATGCTAAAGCTTTGAAGGTGAGGGTCGCCCTGTTGAGGAAGAGCAGGAGTGGAGGAAAATGCAAGACTGAGATCGGGTCAGGAAATGACCTTGATCCCTTTGCAAAGGTGCCAAGGACAGAAGAGTCTCCTACTTCTCTTCCCTCTCCCCTTGTGGTTTCTGTGCCTTTGCCGAGCTTACCGCGGATTGCGCTAATCACAACTCCTCAAGGGACCTTGTCTCCCCCTCCTAAAGGGGTTTTTGAGCAAGCTGGGGCCTTAACATCTCCTTCATTGGCAGAGGTTGAGGTGGTTTTGGAGTCAGTAGCCCATATCTTGTGCAGATCTTCTTCTCCCAAACCTACTAAGAAGACTTACCACCCGCTATTGGAGGGTGTGAAGGCCAAGAAGAGCAAAGGTTTACTGATCAGGGATGTGAAACTTGCTATAGAGTCCATTTTTTCCATCATCCCTGAGTCAATATTTAGGAGGTTGTTGCCATGCCCCTCTCTACTTCTGCCATTATTGCTTTGTTTGATGCCACTCCGGTAAGTTTTGATTTTGTTTGATCTCATTTTTGTTCCTCATCGTTGCCTTGCACTGAATCTGTCCTTTGGTTGTATTTTCTTTCAGTTGGTCATTCATATGAGTACCCTGGTGAGCTGGGTCAGGGCTTTGGAAATTATAACCCAGGAGGCTCAAAAGGTGTCGAAGGCATCAGAGCTTAAGGTTGCCGAATTGACTTTTTCCAATGATGACCTCAAGGCTCAGGTGCAAGACTTGCAAGCTCGGGTTGAGGTGCTGACCTCCTCCAATAAGGGTTTAGAGGAAGAGAAAGAAAAAAAACAAAGGACAAGATCAACAAATTCAAGGAAGAGCTCAGGCTGAAGACGGATAGCTATCTTCAGGCTCGTAAGGATGCCTTTGAGGCCCTTGAATCCTTCGAGAAAATAAAGAAGGAGTATAACATCTTGGCCGAGGTGAATCAAACTCTTCTAAAGGATATTGACTCTGAGAGGGCTGCTATTAAGAAGAAGGAGGCTCTAATTGGTAAGCTGGAGGATGAAGCCACCAGCAACTAGGCTACTGGGTACCTTGCTTTTCAAGATCAAGTTGTAGCGAAGTATCTAAATCTAGATTTTGAGTTTGATTATCCTTCAAACAAGGAGAAGAAGGTGGTATGGCTTGAGAAGGAGGCTGAGGTCTTGGTCCCTACTATTTTTAAGCTTGCTCTTGAGGGTGCTGAGGTATTTGCTTCTTCTGCCAAGGTTCCTGCCCTCGTGGGTGCCAAGGCGCCTGTCTCCGCAGCCGAGGTCCTTGCCTCTGCGGTTCCTCCTGCATCAGCCATTGTTTCTGTTCCTCCCAATCTTGCTGAGCTACCTAAGGTTCCTGTTGGCTACATATCAGCTGTTATTTCTAAGACTCCCGAGTTGCTTAGGCTACCTGAGATCCCAGATTCGATTGCAGGCACCTAAGACTTCTGTTTTTGTTTTCTTTTTTGTAAAAGTCTTTGCAACCAGCTCTTTATAAGAACAAGTTTCTATCCGGTTCTTGTCTTTTTGCTGTACTTCTGATTGTCGTGTTCTTGTATTCTGTTTATTCCCTTTTTCCCCTTACTTTAAGGAGATCTTAGTTCTCCTTGAAGTAAGAGATCGAGAACATGACCTTGTTGTGAGCTGAGCTGGTCCTGTTTCTTTGATCTGAGGGGATACCACAAGCTAAAGAGCTTTTATAAGTTGAAGGGCTTCTTGAACCTAAGGTCTCTTTTTCTGGCCTAAGTGATTTAACTTTATGAGCTGAAGAACTCATTTTCCATGGAGTTGCCTTAGCTCAACCCAAAGAGCTCATCCTTAGTTCGTGTAGGACCAAGCCTCATCTTTATGAAATTTAGAGCACATTGTTATGAGCTGAAGAGCTCACCTTCCATTTGGCTGGTGAGCCATTAGCTGGATTGAGCTGCTTGAGTCTGAGCTCTATTTTTCATGGGCCTATGTCTAGCCACTTTGCTCCTTTTACGTGGAAAGTGATAAATGGGTCGTTATTCGTGCCCATCTACCTCTTAAAACACCTCCAATGTCATGATTTTGGAATCTTAAAGGGCCACCTCTTCGTCTTCGCGCGTTTTTGGCTCCATTAAAACTCGAAATTCCCTATTTTTTTAATAAAATTTGGGATTTCTTATTGTCTACACATCTTGGGATTTCTTCTTCACGTTTCTCATTCTTCCTAAGTCTTTTTTTCATTTTCTATCTTCTTTCTGATTTACATGGCTCCCTCTTTTACTTCCTTGTTCAAACAACAAGCCCAAGCCATGATTGACATGGTGTGGTTCTCTAACTTCCTACTTCTATCTATGATTATAGTTATAGAGTTAGAAGGAATCAAGATGCAATATCTTCTGCCTACTGACTTACCCCTCCGAGTCTCAACTCCTGATGAGCCCTGCAATTTTCTTTCCCATTGAGAAATTAATTTTTTTTTTGAAGGTGCTTTCGAGATGGGTCTTCGTCTGCCCATCCATCCCTCCATTGGGTGGATTCTGGCCTTTTTTGGGTTGTGGGCCTCTCATTTTTCTCCTGAAAGATGGATTGCTATGATCAGCTTCTTTATTTTTTGGTGCCTGCAAGGTAATAGTGAATTTCTACTGTTGCCGAGTTTCTTTACTTTTATGAACTTGATTACGACATGCTCCCTGCTTCAGTCGCTTCACATTGAGGCATCACTTCGATCCTCCATTTATCCATGCTGGTCCCAATTCTCCTAAAGGGTGGGCTCATCATTTTTTCTTTGCCTCTAGGGACTCTTGGAGGTCTGTTGAGCAGCGATCCACACGTTCCTGGCTTCCTCGTTCTTGGGGCCATTTCTCTAACAGAGGTATAGGCTCAGGATCTGCCCTTTTATAATTTGTGGACATTATGATTGGTTCTTACTATCCTTTTACTGTGCAGGTGCCCCAAGTATGACCCTGAAAAAACTGGTGAGGGTTAACCAAGTGGCTTATGTTGAGGTGGTCCCCTTCTCCTTGCTAGTCACTCTACAGAACCTTCTTTAGTTTGGAGCTTCTGCTACTGCTCTGGATGCAATCTTATGTCCCTGTCTCCTATTCTTGATGTAGACTCCTTTTTTGCTAAGTCAGATGAGGAAGAAGATGTTGCCACCTCTTTGAGGAAAGGTATGAGGAGCGGCTCCTCATCTCAGTCACCTGGTTCTTCTTTTGATGGCACTTTATTTTCTACTGCTGAGCTGAAACTTTTAGAGCTACTCACAAAAGTGGGAAGGAGCTTGATGAGCTAAAGGATGAGAATGCTCGTCTATAGACTGTGAATACTCATTTGGAGGAGGAAATATCTGAGCTGAAGAGAAGACTTGGAGGGTCCAAGAGATTTCTCTTGTTCTTTTCCTTGTAACCTGTCGTACTCGTGAATAAAAATCACTTTTTCTGCCTTGCTTATTTCCTTGCAATTTTACTCCATTAGTTGCAACATTTGGGCTAAAAATCCCAGTTGATGTAGTGAGCTTAAGCTAGATGCCTCCCTATTTTTAGCCAAGTGTATATGAGCTGAAAAGCTCATTTTCTTGTTCACGAGCTAAAGAGCTTCACTTTTTATTCATGAGCTAAAGAGCTTCACTTTTTATTTATGAGCTGAAGAGCTTATTGTTTGTTTTTGAGCCAAAGAGATCTGACTTGATCCGAAATGTGTACATCCAAGTGTAGGCAGTCAAACTGTAGTAATAATCCGGTTAAGTCTAAAGTCGAATCCACAGGGAACTATGATTGGTGTTTTGAATTAAGCAGTGATACAGATCAAGTAACTGGAAACCTTGAGAGTTTGAAGTTATGGGGTTTGCTGGATAGAATATAAGATTCTTTCCAATTGATTTTTCCTAGACAAAATATAAGATAAATTATCAAAGGTAACAACCATTATTTAGTTCGAGGATCAGAACATATAATTAATCATCCGGTTTATTATACTTGCGCTTTATAACTCAATTAACCCCCGTGTCAACAACAAGTTTATCGAAAGATAACGATGGAATGTGAGAATTAAACACATGGTTCCGATGTCTTTCTAAAAGTTTACAAGAATTGTCTGTGCCGATACTCAACCCATCTACAAACAAGCAAGTGTTTCTATAAGACATCCAACCATGACATTAATGTTCCATTCTTTAAATAAAGCATAATAATGGTGAAGATTAAAATGTTGTTATGAAGATCTAGTCGGGGTACTTGCCTTGAACCAACCGGTCTTTCTATGCAAGAGTCATCCGTGTCATAGAAAGAACCCACGATTATACAAAGTACCTTAGTTTTGCTAGATACATTCAATCATTCAATAAGCAAGTGAAATATAAAATATTAAAGCATAAAAACAATGCACAAATATAATTTCTGGATAATTTATACATATTCATCACCCCTTACTAAAGAGTGAAAGAGGAACTACTCACTCTTCATGGCTTTGGTAAAGCTAGAAAAGTGAGTGATACTCATCCCTCAAAGTAGATGAGTTACATTGTGAAATACACTAAACAAAGAGTCGATCTTCAACGAAGAATGAGTGAATCACGTCTCACCCTTAACGACTTTAGTAAAGCTCTAGAAAAGTGAAAGAGTTTCACTCCTCTAAGAAAGAAGGAAGCTCAAGCAATGGAAGTTAAAGAAATGAACAATGAAAGTAGAAGAAAGCTAGTCACTTTTAGAGGGTTGCTTCCTCAACCAACAAATGGAGGGTTGCCTCCTCAACTAGCAAATGAACTATCTCTCTTGATACAAGCAAATATAAATCTAAGAGTATGACTAACTATATAAGTAGTAGTCTAAGCCTCCATCCAAGCTCTCTACTAGTTCTTGGTGTAGTCTAAGCCTTACAAACCAAGTTCTAGTCTACTACAAGGACTATCTCCTCCTTCAAAGGCTCCCCCAAGGGGAGTATTTATAGGCAAAGAGGAGGGGGAACAAGATAGTGTGAAGGAATAGTGTATGTCGCCCAAGTCCAAGTGAAAGTCAACTACTCTACAACCTGCCTGTGGATAACGTTCGAATGTGATTTGACATTCGAACATTGTTTCTGTTTTTGCTTTATGGGCGTTCGAACATTGTCTAGCATTCAAACGTGTCTTCTGTCTTTGCTTTATGGGCGTTTGAACACTAGATGGGGCCTGACCTTCTTACTCAAGTGACTTGTGGTCTTCTGTGGAAACCTATTTCCACACTCCATGCACATCTTGGCGCTTTGCACTCATCACTTGGTCTTCAATCAATTGAAGGGGACGTTCGAACGTGAGTTGGCGTTCGAACGTGGTACTCAAGTACCTCATGGTCTTCCTTCTTGGCTACAACACACCATGTCTCAGTAGTCTGGTCTTTACATGTTTTAAGGTAACATTCAAACGTTGATTGGCGTTCGAACATTTTTGGCTTGGTCCAAACTTTTCAAATTTTGCTTTAGAATATGCCGGTGTTTCATGAAAGTCTGATATTCATTACTTTTGGTCCCTTGTACAATTTATGCCCTGAAATGTCATTATTTAAACTCCATCAAAGTATAATTAGTCTTAAAAAGACATGGAAACATGCTAGTTTTAGCTACTAATAGGATCATCATAGGGGTGCTGGCAACCCTCTAAGTCTGTGTCTGAGAAAGTGATGTCTATGTTCAGTCGGGGTGCCTTGGTCACAATTTGCACCTTTAATATCTCTCTAGCTCTGACCTTGCACATGCGGGCTTTTTTTGGCTAAGCTAGTTTCTCCTCCACCAACAAATTCTCCTGATATTACCCTGATCTCCCCTAGGGGTTGCTGGTGTTATGCTGGATGTTACTGTTGAGGTGCCAGAGGTGGGTGTGCCCCGTTCTGATTATCTTGTGCCACATAATGGTGCAATTGCCCCCGCTGAATCAGGAACTCAATATCTTTCTTTAATTGGATGCAGTCGTCCGTAAGGTGGCCATGGTCCATGTGATACTCGCAATATTTTGTTGTATCCCTCGTCGCAGGGTCTGCCTTCATCTGAGGTGGCCACCTCAGAAATTTCTCATTTTGCACTTCATAAAGGATATGAAATATGGTGGCCGTGAGTAGAGTGAGCTGCCGAGGTGAGAACCTTGGTTGGAACTCTGGCTATGGAGGACCTACGCGGTCCATGACGTCTCCCTCCTTATTAGGGGATGGTCCCTTCGTGGGGATCTGTTTCAGGTTCTCTCTTTCCTAGGACTTCAATCCCTATTCTTTTCCTCTTTCTCTTTTCCCTTGTGCATTAGTTGACCTCCTACCTTGGAAAGGAGAGCTTTTTCACCATTGATGTACTTCTCTGCCTTGGCGAGTACTTCTGCCATACTAGCTTGCAGGTTCTTGGATATGAAGAACATTAAGTCCTTTGACTAAACTCCCAGATTGGCAATGAAGGTTGTGATGACAAACTTTTCGTTGGGTACATCTACTTTCAATGATTCTGAGTTGAACCTTTGA